ACATCATCATTTAGGCTGCCCCAGATGATGGAGGATTGTGCATGAGTATTACACAGCTCACCCATAATGATACATGAAACAGATGCTCAGTTGTGTCCAGGGAGCTCAGCTTTGACTTGGGGTAGACCTTAGTGTGAGAGCTTTTCTCACCCAGGCTCTAGAACTGCCTGAATGACAGTTTAAAGTAATTCTGTGCTGTGACATCCCAGGAGGCTCTGGCTTCCTCTTGCCTGGCTCATCCTCTGTTGGTCCCTCCCTGTCAGCATCTGTCCAAGGCTCCTCTCCTGCCTGCTCTTCCTTCTCATGGGATGAGCCTTGCCTTGCTTGCGCAGGGCCTAGGGCCTTGTCTCCTTCACAACAGCATTGACTCCTGCTTGGGAGATATGTAACTGTTTCTATCTAAAGCCAGTCCTTCACTTTCATTTGGAATTCCATCCTTCCTGCCTCCTTGGATACTTTTTAAATAAAACAAATACTTATACAGCACTGATTACGTATCAGGCATGATTTTAAGTGTGTCATAATATTATAAGATATTTAATTCTCCCATGACCCAATGAGGTAGTTACTATTAATGTTCCCATCTTACAGAAGAAGAAACTGAGGTACAGAGACAGTAAGAACCTCCTCAGTGGTCACACAGCTAGAAAAGGATGGATCCAATATCTGAACTCAGGGAGTTGAGCTCCAGACACACTATATCATGAAGACTTTCTGTAGTCTTCCTTCTCTTTCCAGAACTTTCATTCTTCAGGCTCTTTCTCTTTCCCTTTCTCGCTCTTTTTCCTTCTTTTTTGCTCACCGACTCTAGCTTTTTTTCCTGCCCTATCTCTTTTAACTCTACTGGAGCTCTTCTTTATTATTATCAATGGCTTCAGGAAACCCATTCTTATGATCTGAAAATCCATGGATATGTGTCATTTCATTAATTTTTTTTCTTTCTCTTAGGAATGAAATGGACAATGTTATCTAATCTCAAAAAAGATAGAGATGAAATATAGTGTTGAAAAGCTATGCCGAGGCATTCTTTATCTAGAAATTATACTTGTTTACTGTTTAATGTTTCTTTTATTGTCTTGAATGAGGTAAGAGGGCTGTTTTTGTACATCATCATTTAGGCTGCCCCAGATGATGGAGGATTGTGCATGAGTATTACACAGCTCACCCATAATGATACAGGAAACAGATGCTCAGTTGTGTCCAGGGAGCTCAGCTTTGACTTGGGGTAGACCTTAGTGTGAGAGCTTTTCTCACCCAGGCTCTAGAACTGCCTGAATGACAGTTTAAAGTAATCCCATGTTGAATAGAGGGCTGGAAACAATATATTGTCTTACAGAGAATAAAGGGACAGTCAAAATTCTTTGATGGCCTCTGTTTCTTGGGGTCATGAAATTCCCCACTCACTGAGATGAAAAAATCAAAAGTGGTGTCTCACCCAGATTTAGGAGCTCTGTCAAATCTGGGCAGATCCTCAAATACTCACCCTACTGCTTCTATTCCTTGTTGTCCAATTAGTAAGAAATATTTTTTTCTTCCAGTTACATAAATTAATTCCTAGACCCATTTTGCCCAGGCACTATAAAGATATGTCCTGTACTATCTTGGGAGAGACACATCCTTTATCTGTTCTTCTCTCTCCATCACTCTTCCTTCCAGCCTGCTCCTGCCCCTTCAATACACTAAATCTGTCCTTAGCAAGGCTGATGATCACCTGCATTTTGTCTCTTTCTCAGGGAGGCCTTCCAGGGCTACCTATGTATAAATTTAATGGTCAACATTCCGTATCCCCATTCCCTGCCTATTTTTCCCCAAAGCACTAAACATTATATACAAGTATACTTCAAAAGTTAGTGAAGAAATGGAATTGATAGAATACAACACTTTCCGTGAACTTTTTGAAGACCCCTTGTGTATATACTCATATTTATGAGGGTATATACATGCACATATATGTGGCTGATTTATGTTATTTATTATTTCTCTCCCCACTAGAATAGAGCTCCTTGAGGCAGGAATTTTTATCCCATTTTGTTCGCTGCCGGACACTGTGCACCCAGAACAGTGCAGCACATGGCAGGTAACCAATACACGTTTGTTAAATAAATGAACATTAACAAAACTAAAGTTGTATTTGGTCCTTTTATATGAACTCTATCCATGTAGTAAGTATTATTGATCATTTTCTCTTTCTTGATACCCACTCCTCCTAGGCTAATGAGACTTATGTTCTCCTAGAAATTGTAGAACCTTCTCTGACTACTCCTTCTGAGTCTCCCTCATATACTATTATGCTTGTAGTTACACCCAAAATATGAGTGTTTTGAGAATTTCACCTTCTGCCCTTTGCTTTTCTCATTCTATTATTTTATACATCCTCTGATCAAGGTAATATAAAAACATCCTTGCTTTTCCAATGCACTTTCTATAGTCTTTTATGTCTGACTTTCCTGGTGGAACTTTCTCCTGAACTGCACAACAATTCAAGTTAGTATTTAGTGCTTAGTATCTGCTGAGAATTGGGTTCATGTTGGTAAGAAGGTGAATATGCCCACACCCCACTGAGTTTAATCTCAGGAGATAGGAAGGAGCATGATAAACTGTGGGTTAAAAGCTCTACTAGTCTGAGGTGCTTGTATTCAAGTTTACAAAATTCTATTACAATGAGCTATGAGTATACCAGAAATTAAACATGTCCAAAACCCCAATATACACTGAAAACATACTTACATTTTTGTTTCTCTTATTTTTTGACATCTACTCAGTTACCCATGCTCAAAATCTGGGACTCATTTTAAAAGCCCTCCCTCTAATTTTAGTCTTTCAAATCATTGCCATGTGCTGTTTCCTCTTATTCTAACTCTCTCCCTTTACCATCTTTACTAACTTCCCTATTTTAGGAAGTTTTTCTTTCTTGTTCTTCCTTCAGTCTATATTAGATCACCTTTCTTTTATTTTGACACCATCCTGTATGCATATCTATTATGGCATTTTTCTATTTATGCTGCAATCAATAAGATATTGTCTATCTCCTTCAATATTCCATAAGCTCTTGAGATATCCATGATTACTCTGACATAGACTGCTTTTTAAATCTTCCAATTTTCATCTTTTTCTTCTCCCACTGTAACAAAACACCTCATTTTTTATCTTGACAAATGTCAACCTGCTGGAGAGACTAAATGTCTCAGCTTTCTTTGTGGATAAGCTAATCATGAGATGCAATTTTAGCAAATGAAGTGTGAGCAGAGTGATTATGTGTGATTAATCATCCAGGAGATATCCTTAAACAGAAGAGACCTAGCCTTTTCCCTGCTGGATGGAAGATACATGTGATATGAGCCATTGTGGACCAGGAGGTGGCATGTTGAAGAATGGCTAAGCAGAGACAGTGGAAGGAACCAGTGCCCCTGATGACCTTGTGAGGCAGAACCATGGACTCTTGCACTTTCAACTTTTGTGACAGAAGGAAATAAAACTTCAGCTTCTTAAACAACATGTTTTTGGGGGATAGTCTAACAAATGAATTGAATCTTAATTGATATTAATTTTAAGGTACAGTGAACACTGGGACTATAATATAGTTTATATCCACAGAATTGAGCATGGTGTCAGACTCATTAAATATATAATGAATAAAACATGAAGATAATAAATAAGACTGGGTGTCAATATTATGTCTTTCACAAAAATTAAGATAGACTAGTCTCTCCTATTAGACACACACCTTGTAAACTCACAGGTTGGTCTGAAAATACCTTGTTGGTTTATAAGATGACATTGCAGGATTAAGAGCATCCATTCAGATCACACTATACATTATAGTAACTTCTTATGTAATTAGTCAACAGAGAATCCTTGGTGTTTCTCCATTAAGACACTTATCAGTTAGAAAAAATGTTTATCTGAGGAAGTTGCTTGTGACAGGTAAGTTTTTGTAGCTGATACTATAGTGAGACAGATAGATTACTGTTCAGTTTTTGCTTCTCCACTGACTGGTTTGTAAAATGTCTAACCAATCATTCAGCCTATCTACACTGCCTTTATTTCATCTGGTAAAAAGAGATAAAATTCTATAATCTATAGCGCTCTTTCAAGGATCAGAAAGATAATATAAAGTAGGCACCATTAACAGAGCTTTTCTCAGAGAGGGACTTATTAACTAGGAAATTATTTTCAGAGAAGTGAGTCATTGGAGACAAATGGTATTCATGTGTTATCATCAATATCATAAGGAATTATTGGCATGAAGGAAAATGAGTCTATGATCTGCCAATGCAAGGCTACATAATTTTCTCTAATAAACGTACAAAAAGTAGGAAGCTGATACACACATTTCACAAACAGGAAGGCAATATGCGTGCTCCTTCAATAACTATTAGAGGTGACTGTAGTATTTTGTGTTCTAATAAGAAACTCTTTTGGAGTTTCAGGTTACCATGGCATCTGGACCCAACATGAGGGCTCCCATTTGTTTGGTGGAAAACCAGAAAGAGCAGCTGACAGTGAATCCAGAAGCAATAAAGATTCTTGAAAAGATTACTCAGCCTGTGATGGTGGTGGCCATTGTAGGGATGTATCGTACGGGGAAATCTTACCTGATGAACCGCCTGGCAGGACAGAAACATGGTGAGTGTTGTCCGAGAACAGGGGCCAATTACTTGGAACCATTGCTAATGCAAGCTGATTGTGCCTACTCTAGGATCATCTTAAGGAAAACCTGACTTCTCCCAAGGAAAACAAAAATTTTAATATTAATTTTTAGTATTTATCACCAAATTTATAATCCCCACTCCACTCATCCTCAAAATCTCACTCTTTACTCAGTAATAAAGAAGAATTATCCCCAAACTATCTAATGATTCACTCCAGTAGTCTTTTGAACAAAATTAATTCTCCCCTATTCAGAGGGTCAACTCCTGTAATTATCCCATTTCTTTCTCCCACATTATTTTTGTTAAAACTATAGAGTGATTCCAAGAAGTATAGAAATGTAGTACAATATGCCTTATTTTTAAAAATATAAGGAAGGAAGGAAGGAAGTAGGGAAGGGAAGGGAAGGATCTTTGTTTATCCCATATTCAGTGGAGCTGCTTTCTGATTTTTCTGCACCACTTCATTGCTAAACTTTAATTATACTCACTTCTCTTTCTTTAGTTTTTTCAAATATATAGATATAAACTACAGAAGAGTGCAAAAAATACAATATACAATAAAACTAATAAATATAAAGTGAATCCTTATTTAATCACTGACCTGGTCAAGAAATAAAACTCTGTTAACACTCAAACACCGAAATCACACCACCTCACACCTTCCCGTCAATATTTTGATTTCTATTATACTTGTACCATTGACTTTCAAAAGTAATTTTACAATCTATGTATGCATCTGTAAAAAACAGTTTAGTTTGACCTATTTTTAAACTTTGTAGAAAGGGAATACATAAATAATTTATATGTATTTATACAACATATATATTGTATATAGTCTTTGAAGTTCTGTAAATGCATATACTGTATGTGTTCTTTGGTTTCTTGCTTTTTTTGCTTAACAAGAATTTGTAAGATTCATCCAGTCCGTCATCTGTATCATTAAATTATTTTCAATATTTTATGTTATACCATTGTATAAAGATACCATTATTTATTCATTCGTTGTGGTGAACATTGGTTTATTTCCAATGTTTATCTTTTATGAACAAGGCTGTCATACACATTCTTTTCTTTTATTCTGGTGCATATTTACACAAACTTCCCATGTATAACATAGTCAGATGTGGAATTGCTAGGTCACAGGGCATTGTACATTCTTCATTTCCAGATAATATCAAATAGCTTTTTAAACTTTATGTGCAGTTTACATGCTTATTAGCGGCAACTGAGAATTCTTTGCATCCTTGCAAAAATTCAGTAATGTAAGATTTTTAATTTTTGCTGATGTGATGACTGTTTAGTTGAATGTCATATGCCTCATTATAGGTAAGGCTGAGAACTTTTTCACATGTTACTATTTGTATTTCCTCTTTTGTTAAATGTCTGTTCAAGTCTTTTTTTTTTAATTAGACCATCTCATTTGCTTCTTATTGATCTTCCAAGAACGGGCCCATGCTCTTATTAATCCTTTCTGCCTATGAAGACAATGCAGCCACTTTTTGTGCTCTGATGTCTTACACTTTCTGTAGCTCAGTACCATTAGGGGTTGAATCTCAATCTGCTGTATTGTCAGAATCTACACACATCCATGTTGCTTTCTTCTCTTCTCTTCTCATGTAGGTTTCCATCTGGGCACCACAGTGAGATCTGAAACCAAGGGCATCTGGATGTGGTGTGTACCTCACCCTACCAAGCCAAAATCTACCCTTGTTCTTCTGGACACTGAGGGCCTGGGGGATGTGGAAAAGGTAAGTCAGAACGCCATGGAGGAATTTTCTTTGTTCTTGATTCTCCGCTTACCATTAAATTTGTTACCGCAATTTAGCTTCTCTGACTTATTCCTGAAAACTGCAAATCTTGTGATGGATAATGAGGCTAAATTCTGTTTCTTTGAACTTACTTCCTTGGTAAGCTCAAAATTTGGGGTATGTTATGGTAAGATATTGTTATTTTTGCACTTGATGAATGATATAATTTAATACATATTTATTGAGGGTCTGAATCCCAGGGCATTGTACTATATACTAAAGTTACTGCAGTAAAAAGGTAAAGGCCTAGAGCTGAGTTCAGGAGCCAAACAATACGCAGTGTGATCAGTGCAAAGGGCCATGGATGCACAGAAGTAGGCATCTAACTTAGTTATGTGGGCTGGAGAAAGCTTCCTGGAGGAAATGCTATCTAAACTGTACCCTGTTAGGTTAATAGGACTGCATAAGTGTTCTAGAGCTGATATAACAAAACACCACAAACTGAATGGCTAAACAACATAAATTTACTGCATCATAGTTCTGGAAGCTAGAAGTCCGAGATCAAGATGTTGGCAAGGTGATTCCTTCTGAGAAATGTGAGGGACAGACTTTTCTGTGTCTCTCTCCTAGCTTTTGGTAATCTTTGGCATTCCATGCCTTGTAGACGCATTACTCTGATTACTGTCTTCATGTCTGTCTCCATGTCTAAATCCCCCTCTTTCATAAAGACACCAGTCATATTGAATTAGAGCTCACTGTAATGACCTCATTTTAACTTGATTACCTCTGTAAAGACCCTATCTTCAAATAAGATCACATTTATGATACTGGGGATTAGGATTCCAATATATCTTTTTCTGGGGGTGAGGGGACACAATTCAACCCATAATAGGGAGCTACCAGTTCAATATGTAGATATGATGGGGTTGGAAGTAGAAACTGAAAATAAGGTTCAGTTAAATAATGTATTTAAATAATCCTTAGAAAAGCTTCAGCTAAAGCAGGGATGTTCATAAAGGTTTTGGTTCAAGTCTCTGGATTTTGGAGATAACTACTCTCTGACTTCTATAAAAGCATGACCTTGACCCACGAAGAATATTTTAAATGGGATAATTTTAAGTACTTTTTTCTTTATAGTATTGGATACAACAAATCATTTTTCTTATTTCACATTACTTTGAGTAATTACTCATGCTTTATAATATTTCTGAATTGTCTGGTGGTGGTCTTTATGCATGTATGATCTCTTCAAATCTACAATTATATATTCTATCAATTTTTAAAAATGCAGCTATTTTGAACTTACAGCCATGGTATCCCAGTCACACATAGTTGCTTATCACTCTGAAATTGCACACGACTTGTTCCCATATATTGAAATTATCTATTTTCCTTTCTATAATAGCATTTCATTCTACTACTAGCAGAGATTATCATCTTGATTGCATTTATATGTTTACATGCTGTCTTCTCCTCCAGACTGTCACATGGAACCTTGCATCCACATGGATAAATGTAGTGTCTGGTGTTTTGTAGATGCCCAGTGAATAGTTGTTGAATTTAATTGAATAATTGCTGCCCCTAATATAGCCACTATCAATAAAACTTTGCTAATATAACAATTTCTAAATAATATTGTTTCTAGGCATTGTATTAACATTTTACGCATGTTGACAATGTCATCATTTCTATTAATAGCTGAGGAAACTGAGACCCTGAGAGGAGTCAACATTAATACTAAAAAATGAAGTTTGAATTTAGGATATTCTTTAAAACATTTTTCTTTGTTCTACTATTCAGCTATATTTCAGTTGAAGTATTGAATGAACAATTGAATGAATAAATAAAGAGTAGACTCCTTAATCCTTGCTGTAATGTTTTTTACAGGGTGACCCTAAGAATGACTCGTGGATCTTTGCCCTGGCTGTGCTTCTGAGCAGCACCTTTGTCTACAACAGCATGAGCACCATCAACCACCAGGCCCTGGAGCAGCTGCAGTATCCTTCCAGGAGCTGAACACCATGCTTCATTGGGTTTATGGGAATGGAAACTGAAACTGTTTCTTCTTGCCAGTAACTCAATTGTCATGGTTGAGGAGTATGGACGCCAGACTAAAGGAAATGCTTATAAAATTGGTTTCTAAGTGAGATCTGAAAATTGTGGTATAGGATGCTTCTCATTCCTTAGCTAAGGAATGAACTATCAGAGCTAATCAGGGCAAAATCCACTTTGAGATCTGATGAAGCAGATGACTCTGATGAGTTTGTGAGTTTCTTTCCAGACTTTGTTTGGACTGTACGAGATTTCACCCTGGAGCTGAAGTTAGACGGACGTCCCATCACAGAAGATCAGTACCTGGAGAATGCCTTGCAGCTGATTCCAGGTATCAGAACATGATCTGAGTGGTGAAGTTTCAGAAGCGGGGTAGGATCAACTAAGTTCTGCTATTTATCCCTTGACACAAATGTTTATTTGAGACCATGCTAATGATAACTTGCGATGGTTGAAAGATGATTGGTGGTTAGTTTTCACGGGTTCTTATTACTTTAATATGTTCAGCTTCTGGAGTTTAAGCTCACTAAGGAAAATAAGTTCCCATTATTGAAATAAATGATTTTAGACTAATTAGTACCATGAAAAAAATTATCCAGATTACAATACATGCTATAACTTACTAAGGTCCACATACTGTGCTCCTTATTAAGTGTTCCTCCTGTTCTATACTGAGAAAAACAGCTCATAAAATTGAAAACTGATAGATACATAATCGCATGAAATAAAGCGACCTAATATTTAAAGCATATTTCACACAGTATATTTCACTAGCATCTGGTTAGTTACATCCTTCGGAGAAAGGATATTTACACAGAAATAGTCGAGGGAAAACACTGACACATCTTTGCAGTAAGGTTGTCAAGTCTTTCCTTTCACCTTTCTCATAACATCACCCTTTTCATTCCATAGCCTTACACAAGAAGTTATCATTTTAACACTGTAGATTTATTACATGCACTGTATTTAGCAAAGTGGATAACTGATGGCACCCAAATAGAATATAAATATTTCTTTATTCATTTTTTTTACTCATCTTTTCAACAAACATTATTGAACAACTTGGGTGCCACTGGATCACTCTGTAAGGCTCTGTCAAGTCTAAAATACTCTGATACAGGAAAGTGAAGAGGTATTCAAATTACATTTAAGTTAACATTAATTTTTAGAGTTTTCAGTTAACGGAATCTCTAAATATATTTATGGAGGGTATCTGTTTATGGCTGATATTTACAAAAGATTTTCTTTACTAACCTGGGTATCATTTGTCCTCTTCCTGACATTTTTCCTAGCAGCATCTTATCCTTTTCTGATATCATTTTATTTTAAGGCCCACATTTCATTTCTGACAAGGGTTCAGTAAGATCAGAAAAGTACTTTTAACCCTTTTCTTTCATTAGTAGATCATTCAATAAACATTTTGATAATTTTGTTAATCCACTGGAGTTCATACGGGTACTGAGAAAAACAAACAAATTATTATTCCCTACCCGTTGGATGGGTGCCTCCTCTTGCTCTCTAAAATTACTTCCTTGCCTTTTGCTGTGAGCAGTAATGGATTCCCTTTGCCTTAGATATTTGGCACAAGCTTGACTTGCAAGGAGGTATTGCATAATTGGATTAAAGGAGATTTACAGGCAAAGGAGCTGCAATGATGTATAGATCTCTGGGAGTGGAAATCCTCAGTGCCTTGTCTGAAGACTGTCCTCTCAATAACCAACTTTTTTGCCTTTCCTTTTCCAGGCAGGAGTCCCAAAATTCAAATTTCCAACATGCCTAGGGAGTGTATCAAGCATTTCTTTCCAAAACGGAAGTGTTTTGTCTTTGATAGACCTGTAAAAGAAAAAGATCTCTTAGTCCATATTGAGGAAGTGCCAGAAGACCAGCTGGATTGTAATTTCCGGGTGCAATCAGAAAAGTTCTGTTCCTACATTTTCACCAAGACAAATCCCAAGACCTTGAGAGAGAATATCATTGTCACTGGGAGCCGTGAGTTACCCTTGCCCCAAAACATGTCTCTTTGTTTTTTACTGTGTGTGGTGAAGCTTTGATCATATTCTGGGTTAGTCAGTGACTTTTTTTCCCCCAAATGATATGAATATAGGGCAATAGTTGTTCATGTCACACAGAAAAAAATTTGTCTTTCCTAATTATCATCTCTTTACATGAGGGTTTATTGAGACCTACTATATCTTAAGAAACTACTCCACTGACCTTATAAGCACAAACTGTGCAAGAGAGAATACCTGTGTTTAAGGTGAAATCCTATGGGTTAAGTGCCTCTCTGTGTAGGTAGAAAAGATATTTTGTGAATGTACTCTAGTTATAAAGTAAATAGCAGGCCAAGACTTCCTAAAAGTTCATTGAGAGTTTGAGAACAAAATTTAGTATACTCTTATGTACAGAGGTGGCTTCATGATACATGAGCTATGCAGTCGTGCAGGGCCTTGTGTTGAGAAGAGCTTTTCACTGGGTTTAATGCCCTCAGTTATTGTCCTAAAATTATTGATGATTTTTAATTTTACTTGGAAATTTGCATTTTCATTTGGGACTGGGCTCCACAGACTATGCATTCGGTCTCGTTTATGTAATTTGCTTTTGCCTGTCTTATCTACTTCTTTTTTAGTTGCTACGAAAAATTGTTTATCAGAAACTCCAGATCATATTGTTGGTTACCAGTATTTTAAATAGTAATATATGAATGAAAAGCATTAAAGAATAAATGAGTACTTTTTGAAAAACAATAGTGTTGCTAGAAAGAATACGGATTTTTTTAAAAAAGGAAAATTTTATGCTACATAAAGTTTTGGTGATTTTTAGTATGCTGTTTTTTAAACCCTGTGGGGGGAAAAATGGTAACTTGCTATTTATTGCTAAATTACTTGGCTCATTCAGGGCTGGGGGCTCTAGTGGTGACCTATGTGAAGGCAATTAACAGTGGATCAGTACCTTGTTTGGAGAACGCAGTGACAACTCTGGCCCAGCATGAGAATGCAGTGGCCGTGCAGAAGGCAGCCGACCACTACAGTGAGCAGATGGCCCAGCGCGTGAGGCTCCCCACAGACACGCTGCAGCAGCTGCTGGACGTGCACGCGGCCTGTGAGAAGGAGGCCATTTCAGTCTTCATGAAGTTCTCCTTCAAGGATGAAAACCAGGAGTTCCAGAACAAGCTTGTGGTACTCATTTTAGCTGTTTTCCTTCTGATTCCTGTCCTTCTGGAATGATACATAGAGCCTACCTTTTTGACCCTTTGGTTTGTCTCCTATTCATAGTAGAAGGAGCCTGGTTCTTGTGAGTGACAGGGTTCCACAGGGTGATAGTTCACCATTTATCTAAAAGATGGCCATTTAATTAATTTGCTATTGTTACATAACAAATTGCCATAATTTTAGCAGCTTAAAACAACAAACATGTATTAGCTCACAGTTCTGTGGGTCAGAAGTCCAGCACAGCATGCGTGGGTGTTCTGTCCAGGGTATTTCGAGGCTGGACACATGATATTAGCCACATCTAGTTCTCATCTGCAGGCTCCGGGGAGCCTGAAAACTCAATGAGGTTGTTGGTGGAATCCATTCCCTTGGATCTTATTTTACAAGTGAAAGCAAAAAATTTCTTTGCTATATCTTCACAGACTCAAATGCTCATTGGGAGAATTAACAAAGGGTTTCAAACCCTATATAGAGAAAATTTAAGCCATTATTGGGTGGGTTCCTTTTTCACGTATACATTTTCACCCGTAGCAACACCAATCTGAGGAAACTCTACTCCGGTCACATTCAAATTTCTATTGCTCATCTGATAGTCGGATCACTGTTAATCATAGCTCAACTGAAAGAACCATGCAGTTCATGTTGTCCAACCTCATCACTTTACAGAGAATGAGCCTGGCCCCAAAGAAACTAAGGGACTTTCTAAGATTACACAGGAAATTGGTGAAAGTAAGACTACATCAAGTCTCCTGACTCCTGGTCTATTTTCCATGTCCCAGTCCACTCTGAGGCCATCAGACTGTTTTTGCCAAGAGATCACAGTTGGACCTTCCTTCTAACAGCTTCTTTCTTTTATATATCTACATTTGTCTGGTAGGACATCATAGAGGAAAAAAAGGAAGATTACTTGCTGCAGAATGAAGAGGCATCTGTCAAATATTGCCAGGCTGAGCTTGAGCAGCTATCAGAATCCCTGATGGAAAGTGTTTCAAGAGGCACTTTCTCTGTTCCTGGAGGGCACTATCTCTACTTAGAAGCAAAGAAGAAGGTTGAACAGGACTATAAGCTAGTGCCCAGGAAAGGAGTTAAGGTGAGGAATAAGAAATTAGGGGGATGGATAGCAGAGTAGAGTCAAAGAGTCTTTGTCGCTCCTTCTTTACATTTAAGACCACAACTGTTTGTGAAGGGAGAGCAGAGCATACTATGTCTCGGCATTTTTAGCTCTCATATCCATAGGTAATTATTCTGGAGGAAAGTGGAAATATCTCTTCCCCAGAACAGGACATCGAATCTGGAATCCCAAGTGGAGAAGAACATTTCTTTCATTGTACAAACAATGTGATTGTTTTTGAGCTAAGTACAGGGGATTCAAAGATTAAATACATACTTGTTCTCAAGATGTTGATGTTCTTGCCTGAGATACAGACAAGTAGTCAACTGGATACAGTGCGATGAGGGTTATCATCCTGGAATGAACAGATAAAAATAATGATGACAATTATGGTGATACCATTACTACTACTACTAATGATAACAATGCCGACGCATAGTCAGCACTGTCTATACCATGTGTGGGGTAGGATGTGTGTTTCAATATACAAAGTATATTCAAGGTATATGGGAAAAAACCTACAGTTAAGTGCTTCTTTTGAAGTTAAAATTTAATCCCTGGAATAATATTAGGTATTACTGTTATCCACATGTGAAAGTTGATAAATGTGATACACAGAGAGGTTAATGAATTGCCCAGGTCACAGTGCCTGTAAATAGGAGAGCTGGTAGCTCAATGTACTTAACAGCCATTCAAAACTCAGAAGGCAGCTCACGAATGCTTCCTATAAGAGGAAATAGAGGGTCAAGATGAAAAATGGATGTTTGTTATTGGGGTTAAAAAAGAGTAGACAAGCATCCTGGCAGAAGGAAAAAACGCTTAAATAAATATATTAAACAACAGAAGCTATGTTTCATAGAGGCACAGAAATCTGGTTGGATGTAACCTGGGGTGGGTAGTGGAAGACTTTGCTGGAAGAAAAGACTGGGGAACAAGGAAGGAGGCTGCTAGGTATGGTTCTCATATCCTACAAAAGAGTTTGAAATTTATATTGTGGTTGTGGAAGGAAAAGAAGCATGGGTGATCTTAAGGAAAATGAAAAGTTTATCGAGTAAGATTTGTAGCTTTATAATTTGCCCAGCAAGAGATTAGATCTTTACAGCATGTCATTTCCTTGCTCTTTGTTTCCTCAGGCAAACGAGGTGCTCCAGAATTTCCTGCAGTCACAGGTGGCTATAGAAAAATCCATCCTGCAGTCAGACAAAGCCCTCACAGACGGAGAGAAGGCCTTAGCAGGTACAGAGGCAGGGCAGCTCCCAGCACAGAGGGTAGGTTCCTTCAACACCCTCTGAGAGATAGGACAGGAAGACCATCCTGAAACCTTTCTCTCCTGCTAGAGATTTTCAGATTTAGCAGATTGTGCAATCCACAGTTTGTTTCAGGAAGGTCTTCCTGTCAGTTGGGGTTCTACGTCAGCCAGACAGTCAGATAGATAGATAGATGCCTTTCCAATAACGTTCTAAAATGTGCTCTAGATGATGTGGTGACCAGGAGAATTCAGAAATTCCCTACCTACTTTTCAAAATCGGTTTGGTCTGAGCTCAGGAGGGCAGGACTCAGGCCTGACTGTTGTTTTCTTCCCTCTCGAAAACCTTTGTGAAACAGCCGAGCGGGCCAAGAAGGAGGCAGCTGAGAAGTAGCAGGAGCTGCTCAGACAGAAGCAGAAGGAGCAGCAGCAAATGATGGAGGCGCAAGAGAGAAGCTACCAGGAAAACATGGCCCAACTGAAGGAGAAGATGGAGCAAGAAAGAGAAAACCTTCTAAGAGAGCAGGAAAGGATGCTGGAGTACAAGCTGAAGGTGAGTCTGGACGGGGCTGGAGCACATCTTATGGGGATAGTTCTCAGGTCTGACCTTGTCCCCAAACCTCCTTACTCTCATGGAGATGGTGCCGAGGATACCACAGGAAGCTACAAAGCATGGCCACTCTGACAACCCAGATCCAAAAGTATGAGAAAATTGGACAAATTCATCATAGAGCACTTTGGAGACAGGAAACTAAACACATGTGCTTAGCCGCTGAATTTGTTAAAGGCAAAACCCCTGACTCTCAATAATTGTGGTTTTCAAAGTGTTCTTTTTCATGCTATAGATCCAAGAAGAATTGCTTGCTGAAGGATTTAAAAGGAAATCTGAAGAGCTGAATACAGAGATAGATCGACTAAAAAAGGAAATGGAAAGAACTAAAGAAGATAAAGACTTCTTGAAAGAACTAAAGAAGAAAAATACTCATGGGCTAAGGTTGTCGTTGGTTCGGTTGTCCATGAGCTCACTGCACAAATTCCAGGACTTTGTAAGACATTCTGCCAAGGGCTGAAATTTATTAGAACAAAAATGAAATAGGCTCAGAATTCCTGTTAGGAAACTATTAATGAGTCTTCTTTTGTTATTTAGTGGCTCATTTTTAAAGTGTCATGCTAATTTCATTTTTTAAAAAGTGATCACCTAATACTTCAGGGCCTGCCACACAGAAGAGATGTGATATAAATCTAAATAATTAAATTAATGAGAAACAAGTTTGATGATATAATGAAAGAAAAGACTACATTTATGATAGCACTGAAACAGATAAAATACTGTATGTGTCTTATTTCAATGCAGCCTTGCTGTACTTTCACTTTCAATCTCATTTATAAGAAGAAATAAAGTTTCCATTTGTGTCCTGAAATGGACACTGGAGTTTACTTTCATGGAAAAGCTGGGAATAATGTTTGTTCTCATTTACAAAAATATTAAGCTGATAGGCTAAGAAAGTCAGGGAAGGCAAGAGAAAAGACTGGCAGAATTGGTGAGTTTGTGCCTGTTTTTCTCAGATTAGGGTTAAATAAATATAGCCCAAACTCCATTGACACACTGACTCCATTAGTATCTGAGCCTGTGTAATAATCTTAGTTTTAGATTAGGCTTTAAGTTGTCTAAAAACTCCTCTAAAGGGCCGGCCCGGTGGCGCACTGCTACAGTGTGCCGCATGGGAGCACGGCGGCCCTCCCGCCGAGGGTTCGGATCCCACATACAGACCGGTTCCCGCTCACTGGCTGAGCGAGGTGCAGGCGCAGCACCGAGGGTTGCGATCCCGTTGCCGGTCCCGGTCCGGTACGGGTGTGACACTGAGGGTTGCGATCCGTTACCGGACACTCGAAAAAAAAATAAATAAATAAAATAAATAAATAAAAACTCCTCTAAAGATGCAAATACTATCAGATGGCTGTGACGTAGAAGAGGCAACAGTTCTAACGTTTAACATCAGAGATTAGGTTTACCTGTTTGTAAACTTCATATAAATGGAATCAAACAGTATGTATTCTATTGTGTCCTGCTTCTTTCGCTCAACATTGTGATTGTGATATTCATCCATGTTTGCTGTAACTAGAGCTTGGTAATTTTCATTGCAATGTCTTTCCATTTAAGAAATATTCTACATTTTGCTTATGTATAAACCATACATGGACATTTGGAATAGTTTCAGTTTGGAGCTATTATAAATATTT